TGCACATCCTGAGGGTTCTGTGACTCGGGAGACCCTTCTCAGGGGACCACCTGACCCTGACCTTGAGACCGGGCAGAGATGCTACAGTCAACACCTGAATTGCCTGCCCAGCAGTCCCCCCTCCCCCAGCTCTCTGGGGAGTGGTTGCAACCCCTCTGGACCCTGGTCCCCCTCTGGCTGTGGCTGACTGGTGCGAGCGTGGACACTCAGCCCGACTAGCCAGTGGGAGCCCTCAGCCACAGTTTGAGCCGAGGACTTTGCTCCCAAGCCAGGCCAAGAGGGCGTCAGCCAGACATGGTGAGGGGCTGGAGGTACACTGGCCTTGGGTTCCCTCAGCGGGTGTCAAGGGTGGGTTGGCATCTCAAGACCCAACAGATCCAGTACCCTCCTGGGGGAGGGGGTCTGTCTGGCTTCTTGGGTGGCTTCCCACCTCCCCTCCTTCAGGGACCCAATTCCGACTCACAGCGACCCTATAGGACAGGGTAGAACTGCCCCACGGGGTTCTTTATAGGAACAGACAGCCTCATCGTTCTCCCTGGGAACAACCAGTGGATTTGAACTGCTGACCCTGAGGTTAGGAGCCGAAGGCTGACCCACTATGCCATGCCACCAGGACTCTTTCCTCGGGGAGGGAGGACCTTGGGGTTTGGCCTCTTCTCCAGGCCCTGGAGTGGCACACACGGTTTGCCCCCCAGCTGCTAACCTAAAGGTTGCTGGTTTGAATTCACCAGTGGAACCGTGTAAGCAAGGGCTGGCAACCTGCTTCTGTAAAGACAGCTGCCCAGAAAACCCTACGGCCCCTTCTGCTGGGTCACATTCAGGGCCACCAGGCGTCGGCACTGACTTGACAGCAACGGGCTCTAGTGGCCCGGTCTTGGCGTGTCCAGTGTCCACCCCCCGCCCCCACAGGCACCTGGAGACCCACTCGGCCGTAGTCGGGCAAGGAGACAAGAAGCAGGGGCTTTGAAATCATCCATCGCGTTTAATGCATCATACAGAAGAACTACACGGGCCTATTTCAGACAAAGACGTTCCCTCTAGTCTCACTACTCATGGACGGTCCTCTCCGTCAGAAAAACAAAACAAAACAAAAAAAACGCACAGAGAAACTAACCAGTCTCAAGACACGTCGGCGGAGACCTCTGGGATCCAACCTTTCCATATCCTCCCATGACATCCTTTAAAAAATTACTTTTATCATTTTTAAACTTTCAATCCATCCAGGAAGGAAACGACGGACAGAGGGGACGTGAAGGCGCGGGTGGGGCGAGATACGGGAAAGACGTCGCCGTCTGGAAGGGGTCCCTGCACGCCTCGCCCCACCCATCAGTAAAAGAATATAAGAATTTGTTCAACCCAGTGTTGAGTGTATTAAAATAGATCTGTATCGTACAGCACAGCTTCGCCCGGAATCGTGAAGTGAAAGGGGGATGGCCGCGAGGGTCTGGCCACGCCCCCGAGCTCTACACCTGTCTTTTGAGTGCACCTGGCAAAACTCCCCACCCCCCCATACGAGCTGAGTGCGCGTGGCCACGCCCAGGACAGGAAAGCTTGGCCACACCCCCTGGCTCTGCCACACCTCCCACGCAGCTCCGGAGTGCATGCAGGTGCAGTCAATGCAGCTGGGCACCGTGTGAAATGCTCCCAGGGCGGGGGAGCCCCGGGCTCCTGGGTGCTTGTCCTGTTGTGCTAAGTTCCTGGGACCCAAGCTGGGGGCTCGGCAGCTCTGGGAGGGGAGCCGGGGGGCGTGAGCCCTTTGGGCTCCAGGCTGACGGTAGCCATCCAGAGGCTGGAGAGACCCCCAATGGCCAACCCTGCCTGGGGCCCCACCTTTCTTTCCGCCCCCCTCTATATTCCCCCCAGTTCTTAAAAAAACAAAGCCAGAAGCCACCCCAGGGCCTTCCAGGGCCGACCCTCCCCAGGGGAGACGTCCCCATTCGTACCTTGAAGCAGAGATTTTTATAAGCAAGAACGGGGGTGGGGAATGTCAGCAAATGCCCTCCCCTTCACATTAAATATCTTACAATAAAGACGCCATACAAAAATGTAAAGGTATTTTTTGGCATAGTGTCTGGACTGGAAAGAAAAGTGGAGCAGACCGCTTCTCGGGTCTTGGAGGGGAGTCCCCAAGGGCTCCTGGAGCGGGTGCAAGCGGCGCCCCCCAGAGACCAGCCAACTGCCGCTCCTGGCGGGGCTCGGCTCCACGTGGCCCCTGAAACTCCTTGAGGACACTACATTGAGGGAAAAACGAGCCCCCAAGTTTGGCCAGCGGAAGAAGGCGTGCCCGACGTGAGGGGAGACTCCAGGTGCAGGAACGGCCCCCCACAGGGACTCTGGTCTTTCAAGTTAGGCAGATGCACCCTAATAATACTGACAGAGGGCCTGGTTGTCCGGCGAGGTGCAAGGGGTGCCCAGGACTGGACCCGGACACCAGGCGGGCACCTATTGAGGGTGACCCTGGGGAGGGGGTCCCCTCGCCTGAGGTGGCGGGGCATCCCCCAGATCTGGAATCCACATGCCTGGGGCCGGCCCATGTAGCTCTGGGAGCAGGCGCACCCCGCCCTTCCTCGCTTCTCCTGGCTTTGGGGAACTCAGTGCACACAAGTGCATACGGACATCTAGCCCCTCTACTCTGGGACCCCCGGCCATGCCCACCCCCTCTGCCTGCGTCTGTCTGGTTTGCTTGGTCTGAACTTCATCGTGTTATGAATTAAGGCCGACAGAACCCCGGCATGGAAGCAGGGTTCCAGGAGCGTTCCGTGGGAGGTGAAGGCAGGTACCTGGGGGTCAGTTGTGCCCAGGGGGGTGCTGGAGGGCAGTGTGCACGGCGGCAGAGGGCTTGGTCCAGGGCCCGGCCAGCAGCGGGGCGGGGCTGGTGGTCGTCATGGTGACCTGGAGCAGCTGCTCCCCCTGTATCAGTCTGAGCAGGGCCCGCAGCCGCTCCAGGGAGGTCTGAGTGCCCCTCTGCCGGGCCAGCAGGTTCGTCTTGAGCTCCAGGCATTTCTGTCAGGGGAGGGGCAGAGAGCACAGTCTCAGAATTCAACTGTAGGCAGCTGTTCCCTGCAAGGACCCCTCCTCCCACTGTCCAGACCCAAAGAAACCCGCAGAGGTCTTGCAAAAATCAGGCTGCGGCTTACTCATGGTGCTGGCCGGCCCGTTCTGGAAAGGTGAGGTTTGTTGGAGAATGCAGGGGTCTAACTTATTTTGGGGGCCCCACCCCTCCTGCACTCAAGAGCTGGCTGCTGAGAGACCAGTGGATTGGTGACAGATCTTCACACCTGTCTCTTCTTGCCTGCTGGGCTGTTTCGGCAAGGGCAACAGCTGGCCACATGGAGTTATCGCAGAGCCTCTTTCAAGGGCTTCCAGAGAGGGTGCCTTGGGTATTGCATCGGAAGCGCTCTCCTTGAGAGGGGCCCGCACTGCTGTTACTGTGGTCACCACCATCACCACCACCACCACCACCATCATGGTGACATTATCACTACCACCATTACTGCCGCCACCACACCACTATCACTCCTATTCCA